GGTACACGATCCTTTAGTGCAGCATACAGCAGTTCGCGATTCCCTTCAGTGAATTGTACTTTAAAGCGCATTGGAACAGATAATAAGTATTATGTTACTAAAAGGCTTATAGTAATAGTGGAAATAACCGGAATCCTAAGGAGCGCCGGAAAGCGCGAGAAGGCGGTTCTTAGGTTATGGTAGTAGGTAGCGCTTTTCGGACTCTATTTAGAAGACTGTAGATTGATGGATGGAGATGCACTCATCTTGCTCAAAGTGTGACGATTCGTAAGCTTGGCATATGTCTATTTCGCCCTCTCCTCACCCTTATCACCTAGTCCATTCCCTTTGAAAATAATTCAGTCAGAATATCTGGAGAGCCTGTTTACCCACCCTTCCTCTCCTTCGTAGACACAATGCTTCACTTTACTTACACGTGAACTTCCACTATCTCACTTCAACCTCACCCATCATCTTACCTTCTCACACGTCTGCTCAGCTGCACTCTATTCCCTATGGGGCAACACACTTTGACCATTGTTTTCGCAAACAAATTCGGCAATCGAAAAAAGGAAGATTGATGGGAGAAGGAGTGGAGGATATCAACAGTGACGATGGCGTTGCCAGCAGTGCAGCGACAGCAACAGCAACGGCAGGCAAATTGAAGGAAGGGGGTAGGAGATGAGGAGAAATGGGATGAAAGCTTGAAGTGTGTTGTAGACAGGGCTTGGATAGGGGTAGAGAGGGAGATGAGTGCATGAGAAGTGAGAAATTGATTTAATACCTCAACCTCCTAATCTGGAGTCAGACGCGCTAGCATTGCGCTAAGGAATCACACTGACATCGTCACCATTACCACCATCCATGACGGGTGCACGATCCCTCAGTGCGGCATTACAGCATTGCGATACTTGTGGTCGGTCACCTCAACATCACCACACTGAGTGCAGTAGCAGCGGCAGCAACGTAAAAGACGGCAATGAAATGGACGCAAATAAGTGGTCGAGTAAAAGTTGCTGAAGGAGGTAGTGCAAATGTGAATGGGAGTTAAACATTGGTTTGAGGGAGGGCGGAGCACGATTATTCAGTGGTATTCAATCTTTGCTGTCATTTTGCAGCATGCTTTAGTTTGTTGTAAGTTTCACATGTTCTTTGATTTAATCACAGTCGTGTTATAAAATACTAACTATCTTCGTTATTTTCACCATCATCACCCTTGTCATTTCCACCTCTCTCTATGCTTCACTTCCATTGCTTAGTCTCTCGTTCCTTACAGGCATTACTTTATTCTCTCCACTTTCATCATTATTAACAGGACCAAAAATAAAACTCTAACTGGCACATTTCCTATCCCTGATGCGTGCATTCTCAGAGCGGTGATTATTTTTGTAGTGTTTTCAATAAAACAAAGGCCACATATTAGATGTTTCACTTTCGCGTAGGCAAATGTTTTTCAAATACAGTCACTAAACATTAAAATTACATTCAATTTACGCTGTTAAGATGCACCACTTTAATTCACCTATTTCTTCATTCACAATTACAGTGCAACAGCTTCAAGTAAAATAAATAATCTGCATTGTTGCAGAGTGTATTAAATGAGAATGAATGCCCAGATACGCTAACTTTTGTTTGGGTCTGGACAAAAATATAAGGGGCACATAAAATTTTGGTTTTGTTGTAGAATTTTGCTAGATTGTGAACAAAGCAGGTATAATTGTCTGCATGTTACAAAACCATCGGCATGCCACAGCAGGATGGTCGCAGACCAAAGTTAATGCAAATTATCCAAATTGTGGCCAACTTATCGAATATGTGGATTATTTGTTAACTCGTGGTTTTGTCAAAGGGACTGCTGAGGCAACTTTCCATTGCAGCCTACACTGGTTGGCTGTACTACAGACTTAGCCAATAGCATCAAATTCTGCTGTACTTTGTTGCTACATATTCTGCCTTCAAGTTATGGCTTCGTTTTCGGGGAAGTCGCTAAGCGCTTTTCTTTGGATATAGGGCCTAATTTTGCTGGACACAATGTTTCGGAAATAATGGTAGAATTTTACTTGATTGCAAAAAAACCAAGTGAAATTGTCTTTATAATACAAAACCATCGGCGCCTAACAGCAGATCAGTTGCGAACTAAAATAGTGTAAAATATCCAAAGTGCACCAACTTGTCAAATTCGTTAAGCGTTTGCTTTACTTTCGGTTTTGGTAAAGAGGTCAATGAGGTTATTTGCTAATGCAGCTTTGAAGGGTGGATCGGCTTCTGACCAAGCATGCAATTCTGATCCCTCTGCACGTCAGCACAGCACTTTCTTAACAAGTACCAAAGTATGTCCACACATTTAAATCGATATTGAATCGAGTGCCTGCAAAGTAGAAGTTCAAGTAGATAACTCCCTTTTACCATCATATTCAGCTCATCCAGCTCTCCCTATTCATTTGTAACAGGTTGTTTACCTCTTCAACTATTAGTCAAAACATCATACCAGACAAATAATATGTCTACGTTACGACGACCGACAAACAAATGCGAGGTGAGAGGATTGTGAACAGAGAAATAAAAATAGAAAACAAAAGTATTGAGGGTGCCGAGTGTACACCCGCATCTTTGCCGAACAATAGCACAGCACAAAGTGGAAGTTATGTACGAAGCCAAGAACGAACAGTGACAAAGCAAAAATACCATTTGAGAGCCTGGTGCTGGTCGCACCTTTCCCGGTCCAACCGCGGTGAGTTACCACCTGTACTGTCGCATCTCAAATATCGGCCTTTTCGGGGAAATAACCTCTTGATTTTATAACTGAGGGATTATTTGTGTTCTCGATCACTTTCAATTTATGCGTATCGTCCGCTTAGACTTCCAACTTTTTAAAATGGTTAATGCTGATTCGGACCATATTCTTATTGGGAACTTTGGTCGGTCATATGGCATGAGTCGGGAGTGGGGACCATCCAAATAGGTGGAACTCGCCACAACCCCTTCTTCATGACATCTTAGGTAAAGAGCCAGGTATAAATCACGACGAGAGTAGATGTGTGAGTCCTGGGCATTTTCGTTCCTTTCGTCCTCTTCGGTCAAGCCAAGTTGCATGATTGGCTGAGTACAGGTCGGATCCTGAAAGGCCGTTCGCCATATGTTATCGTACCTCTACGCAACTTCTCCAAAAACCTGTCTCAGACGAAATCACAGGAGACGATTGGATATTGACAGTGTCAGGTATCTTGATTTGTGCAACGATGTTAGCATGGAGGAGGTTGTGGCATGCAAGATGGAACCAACTTACTACCTTCTTGAGTTAAATGCCTTCGCTACTAAGGAGCAAACACATTGGCAAGTACAAATTCTCCTTGTTTACTTCCATAACAGCCATGAAAAGAGGATTTAGGACCGAAATCTCCAATACAGATAAACAGATGT